TGCAATAATGTCTTTAGCGACTTATTAAGGGAATAGTTTTTATCCCGGACCTCACTACCCAAGCATTATTGCGATAAGCTTGCTTAAAATAAGAACATATACGTARTTTATAAAATAAAATATTTATAATMATAATGATAATACCAATTGCACATTATTATTAATCACAAAAGTTGATCACAAAAGTAATTAATAAACTAATGCAGGTACAGTTCTTTATAACTTTCCCTAATGCATGCATGATTCAAACCTAAGATACTATTTTTTACTGAACATAATATGTACAATTGTTTGATTTACTGTAATTCTATACTGGAAATATATTTAACATGGTTATTTCAAAGTTAATGTAAGCTTTTACACAAGGTGTTAAATAAATAAATATGTCAGAATCCATTATGGCAATCAGCAGGACTTTTTATTCTTATAGATATTGCTTTCTACACTTTTATAGAGCAAAAATAGCTGTAAATTATCGCTCAACTGTAATGCTAATTTTATCTTAAAATAGTACCTAAATGGGTTAAAACAACACTRTGAAGTGTGAATATTGTACTCTAAGTGACACAAATAGAAAGATATAATTTCCCAAAGTATTTTTTCAATCTTTTATTGTTTAGTGCTAAGTACTTTATGTACTCATCGAAATCGTTATTTTATTTTGTTTGTTTTCGATATAGATCCAAATTATTGCGAATTAGTCAGAAACCTGTCGCCGTACAATAGTGGTCGCCGGATGTTGGATATTATGGACTTGTCCGTGTTCGACTTTCTCATGGGCAACATGGACCGTCATCATTACGAAACGTTCACCCTGTTCGGAAACGACTCATTTCCTATTCATTTAGACCACGGTCGGGCGTTTGGCAAGGCGTTCCACGACGAGATGAGTATATTGGCTCCAATCATACAGTGTTGTCATATACGAAAATCTACGCTTGAAACATTGCTAAGGTACATTGCTATTTATTGTTTGTTCTACGTTAATTAACATGATCAAAATAAAAGCATAAACGCTGTGGTTCCAATCGGATAATTAATCATTATTATTAGGRAGAACGTATGTAATATGATGGTAATATATAAGTTTGGGTATAGTATAATATGTATATAGGTAGAATTCCAGTTTGAAAGATTTATATGTTTTTTGTTCTTTGTGATGTAAAATATATATATATAAATTCGAAGGTACACATAACATATGTTATTCATATGGCATAAAAAATGTTTGTCATTGTGAAAATCTCAAACATCGGCAGTATAGGAAAAAAATTGGGTAAAATACCTAATAGGACAATTTATTTGTCCCCCTCATCGTCAGCGAGAACAATATGAAAGGGGTTCAAAACGAGCATCAGTATCTAAAATTACTTAATACAAACCTGTAGGGATATAATAGTTAAATAATCTGGTTTAAAAGTTTTATCAGGTTTCCAACAGAATTAAAAATCATAATTTATAAGTGAAGAAATATAAATTGAACTTAAAGCATTTTTTTTTTTTTTTGTAATCGTGTAGTCACTAAATTGACCATAGAAATGAATTCACAGTACACTCCTCCGATGATATCATAATGCTTTTAACTAACAAGAAGCGAAAGTTCAATATAATATTTGATTTATCATAAAGATCCTTAACTTTACATACAAACATGTACATATTGTATAATTTTAATCAACTTGAAACGTTCAAATTTTAGCTAATTATATCATTATATATAAATATTTAATATAATATTTATTTGGTCATTTGATTTGGTATAATACTAAAAATATAAATATAGAATTTAAAAATATAAAATATAAATATCAAACTGCGAATGTAATGGTTCTTAAGCTGATTATACCGATCCCCACAATAAGAATTCTGAGTAAATTGCTTTCAAAATATAAAAATAGTAAATGACATCAGTTTCATTCGTAATCACAATTCGAGCACTTAATAAATATTATAATTATGTACTATCGAAACTTGTGAGGTACGGGGTTCGTGCATTGATAATGATGGTCTATATTAAACTGCTTTAATCTTTTATTTTATATCGTATTAAAGATTATAATATTAAATTGTATAAAGTATCTCTCTCTCTCTCTCTCTCTCTCTCTCTCTCTCTCTCTATATATATATATAATGATGTATATTCTCTTCAGTACACGAAAACATTGTCGACTTATAACTGACGTTTTTAGAAAAACGTAAAATGTCAAGAAATTTAAAACGGCTTTGCAAACGAAAGCTATAGGACGTAAGTTGTGATGTTGGGATTGAGTGGCGGACGAGAAGAAAAGCGTCATCTGTGCATGTATATATATATATATATATATAATAACAACGTCGAAGTGTGTTTGTTTTCTGCCACGTATGTCTGGTGGACCACCGCCACTGCCATCGAGTGGCATCCGGGGAGTGTCTATACGTATATTCGAGGATATAGGAGAGGCGGGTAGGGGTGCAAGAGTCGTTGTGTACGTGGATATTCGGACTTAACTGCACGTCAATGGATAAAAGGGCCCGAGAGAATAAACGGCGGCGTGCCAATGCCGTCCAGCAATTGGTGGACAGTGGAGGGTGGGTAAAGAGATTGGTCCATGCCTTGCGTATACCTATTTATATATATTACATATATAGGTAGTATATACGATAGAGATAATCTTAAATAAACGGCAGCCGTTAAGAGGTTGGCAAAACCCATTACGGGCATTCGCAAACACGAGGTGGACCCGATAAAATATTCAACGAGGACAAAAAGCCATACGACGTTTTGAAAAGCTCTCGTGTTCCTAGCCGACCACGATATTATGCACCGGGTTGGCACATACACGTCACAGGCACTTAGCATAATTATCAGTTATCATCATGACGGGCTATTATGTACAAATAATTCCAGTTCCGGTTCGGAATCGGCAAACCATCATCTTTCGATTCGTATAACAAACGYATTATATAAAACCGCAAAGCACCGTGGTTTTTCACGCAGCATCTGATCGCSGACCGTGACACAAATGAAAGTACCTAATATGCATTCGCGTTTCAGCGTAATTATTCGAAACCATGTGCTTTTGTGCTGCGTTTTAAGTCCCGATACGGCTTTTAGCCGCAACAGTAGTTCAAAGGAAACGCATTTATTATCGGACTGCGATAAAATACAGCTGTATTATACCTACCTACCTATGAAATAATAATATAACTCTCCAAACACGTCAACAATGATAATATATACCAATGTAATGGATTGAACTAAAATGGTAAAATGCTTATATCCATCTGGTGTACACAACATAACTACATGTGTACGCATTGTAATGTGCATT